GCATTCATTGATATGGTTAAACAGTTAAACATTAACATTTAGAAGAGGTACCGGTAAGTAGGATGATAAGCAAATTATAACATCAGGAAGGAATAGATCTGAAGTGAATTTTATTGAAAAGAATTAAATAATATATTTATAATAACAAAGAACTTTCAAAAATTTGATTGAGGAAAACAGTAGCATGCACATCCTGGGTAATCTAGCTGAAAAATAAGAAAGATGAGTTTAATATACAGTTTTTTTTTCACCACATTTCTCCATATATGCCCTAAAGGTAGTTGCAAGAGGAAATGCTTTTCAAATTATCATTTGTGAACATGCAGCTGTCAGGCAAGTCTTGCATTATAGTCAGTTTTTAAGGAGGTTCAGGTCGAATTGAGGATTATTTATCTTGTTCATCATACTTTAATATTATGGGTTCATGCCATCAGGATACCAAAAATGAAATAAAAAAAAAATTGGGGTTACCAGACTTTTTTTCTTGATATAAAATTTGATTGGAAAATGGTAAACACTGTCGTTTTTACACTGTTTCCATGGTGAGATTATTTTTTAAAAAGTTGCTCAGTGACATGGGATGCATAAGTCTTATAATATTATTGCCATGAAACCTAATATTGTGAAAACATTTCAAAAAATTGACATATAATGTAGGAAGTTCATCAGATGATAATAGTTTTTCCATAATTTCAAATGAGAGGTTATCTCCCATAATGCATTGCATATATGTGCAGTAACATGCTCAGTAGTGCAAAATTTGAATTTCGGTTACAGTGTTGGGACGGAAATCATAGACTTGTACACATTTTTCGAAGAATATGCATCTGTAGTATGCGCAGAGATAGCACAGTCATAGTATCGGTATTGACCACTGAGGAGTAACATACTGTCTGTGGTGAAATAGTGAGAAACAATGCAGTGTGTACACTCACACATCAACTGTCATGTTGTCTTCATAAACCTTGTTTGCATTCCCTTGGAAATAACTTTTAAGTTGGATTCCTACTTTGCTGATCTGTGATGTACCATCCACTGATCAGTTTATATGCACCATTAAATCAAAATTGTGAATGAGTAAGGATAAATTAACTGCAGAATTACAAATTTAAAACATCCTTTTAAATTAAGCCAAAGTTGTTAAAAGTACATTCACTAGTCAATTTTCAGTTTTTACCCAACATTTCTGTCCCAATCTTGTGAAGGAAAGTGGAGAATATAAACGGGACTATTTTTTAAATTTGTGATGAAAAGTATGAATTGGTGGTGAAAAGGTTAAAAGGTAAAAATAGTTTCATAGAGAGTATAATGAAAGTTATATATTTAGCAGGAGATATAGCAATGACTGTATTCATCACAATAATAATTTATCATTAATACAACATTCCTCAATGTAGATTTGTGGTAACCCATTAAAGTTACACTGATTGATCTGCCTTGGGTTGACTTCACAGTTAACCCATGCTTGGCAACAACTAGCATATTTGTACATTCCTGCACATTCATTTTCTTGTATCCAATATCATCTATGTATATTCATATCAGCATGTGCAATAATACTTGTATGAGGTATTTAGATTGTTTTCTCTGTTTACACTCGCTGGTATATACTCCATCCACTGTGATGAAAGCAATCATTTAATTAGAAAAAACTTGACAGTGACATTGCTGAAAAGTTTTTTTATTTAAAATATTAGGACTGTTGTAAGCATTAGCTGTATCTGTGTGAATAGCTTTCCCTGGAATAAAAATTGACGAAATATAAGTACAACAATGAAATGTCTTTTGTCATCAATGTTAATTTTTCTCGAGGTTAAAATAGCGTGTTATTGATGTGTTTCAATATACTGTAAAATACTTTATTTTAGCTGGAATTAATTTTCGCTGAAAAGTCTTTTTGTGTCTTTTGTATGGAATTTATTTTCACTGATTTTTGAAAAGTTGAATATAGGATAAAACGTATATTCACTGGATTATTAGTCCCTTTTTTAGGCACAGCCTCAAAAGGGGAATATAGTTTCTTATTTCCAGTTTCCATCTATGAAGTCTCTAACATTTTCTCAGAAATTTTGCAGCAGATATCGATGAAACTTTGCAGGTTGATGACCAAGTCTCTGTTGAATATGAACATAATTTTTTTTTCCAGATCTGAATATCCTAAGTGGGTCTTTTTTGTTTCATTTTCATCAAAAGCTACCTCTCCCAACAACACTGAAAGAACAACCGAGCATGCTCAGAATAAATAATTAGGTTAGATGGTAATGCTAGGGTTTTCAGTGATCTCATGACCTTGATCTGATTCAGTGACAGAAATGGACCACAGTCTGGTTTTTGTTGGGTTTTATGAAAAATTAATGCTGAAATCTTGAAAAAAGTGGTCAGAAATGTTGTATATCTTCAAACTGTAAAAATTGCATTCCATTATAAAGAGCCATCAGTGAAATACCAGGCGACAAAGTTGAAGATCAGTGAAAACACTTCACAGTTATTAGTCCCCGTTCGGACGAAGTCCGAAAACGGGGACTTATAATTCGGTCTCCGTTCGTCCGCCCGTGCGTCCACCCGTGCGTTCATGCGTTCGTCCGGAGTCATATCTCAGAATCCCTTGGACAGATTCATTCATTCTTTGCATGTGCCTAGTACTTTATGTGGGAAAAATGCACATTCAGTGGTTTAGCGATTCGATTCAAAATGGCCAACTGGCAGCCATCTTGTTTTTTGAAAATGTTGTATTTTGGACATGCTTTGTCAGTTTTCATTCAAACTTGGTACATAGATTATACATGTTAGGATACATGTCCATGGTGATTTATTTCACAATTGGATCAAAGATGGCCGACTGGCAGCCATCTTGTTTTTTGAAAATGTTGTATTTTGAACATGCTTTGTCAGTTTTCATTCAAACTTGTTACATAGATTATATATGTTAGGATACATGTTTATGACGATTTATTTCACAATTGGGTCAAAGATGGCCGACTGGCAGCCATCTTGTTTTTTGAAAATGTTGTATTTTGAACATGCTTTGTCTGTTTTCATTCAAACTTGTTACATAGATTATATATGTTAGGATACATGTTTATGACGATTTATTTCACAATTGGGTCAAAGATGGCTGACTGGCAGCCATCTTGTTTTTTGAAAATGTCGTATTTTGAACATGCTTTGTCAGTTTTCATTCAAATTTAGTACATAGATCATACATGTTAGGATACATGTTTATGACGATTTATTTCACAATTGGGTCAAAGATGGCCGACTGGCAGCCATCTTGTTTTTTGAAAATGTCGTATTTTGAACATGCTTTGTCAGTTTTCATTCAAATTTAGTACATAGATCATACATGTTAGGATACATGTCCCCGACCATCTGTGAGTTCCTGAGTCTGTCCGTCCATCTGTCTGTCCATCCGTTCGTGCGTGCGTCAGTCTGTCCAGAGTTATATTTCAGAATCCTGTGCACTGATTCCGTTCATTCTTTGCATGTGCCTAGTACCTTATGTGGGACATATGCACATGCAGTGGTTTAGCAATTCGATTCAAAATGGTCGACTGGCAGCCATCTTGTTTTTTGAAAATGTTGTCTTTTGGACATGCTTTGTCAGTTTTCATTCAAACTTGGTACATAGATTATACATGTTAGGATACATGTCCATGACGATTTATTTCACAATTGGATCAAAGATGGCCGACTGGCAGCCATCTTGTTTTTTGAAAATGTCGTATTTTGAACATGCTTTGTCAGTTTTCATTCAAATTTAGTACATAGATCATACATGTTAGGATACATGTCCCGACCGTCTGTGAGTTCCTGAGTCTGTCCGTCCATCTGTCTTGTCCGTCCATCTGTCTGTCCGTGCGTCAGTCTGTCCAGAGTTATATTTCAGAATCCTGTGGACCGATTCCGTTCATTCTTTGCATGTGCCTAGTACCTTATGTGGGACATACATGTGTATGCACATGCAGTGGTTTAGCAATTTGATTCAAAATGGCCGACTGGCAGCCATCTTGTTTTTGAAAATGTTGTATTTTGGACATGCTTTGTCAGTTGTCATTCAAACTTGGTACATAGATTATACATGTTAGGATACATGTCCATGACGTTTTATTTCGCAATTGGATCAAAGATGGTCAACTGGCAGGCATCTTGTTTTGTTTTTTTATGCGGTATCTTGTATGTGCTCTGTCAGTTTTCATTCAAATTGTTGTTTATAAATCTTGGCCAGCTTCAGTTGTATAGGCAGTGAATAAATGGGTCGTACCATCACAAATCTTTGTAGAGGGGAGTCAGGGCTACATTTTGATGGGAAATATAGTTGTGTTACTGAAACAAACCCAGGTCCTCCTAATATACAAAGACCTGAATTAACAAAGAAGTCAAGTTGTTATTGGAAGGACATCAAGGTTTACTCAGATTTATGAATGCAGTTTCTTGAGCATGTATACATGTATGAGACATAGTTTGGTTGCACTTGGACATGGGTCAATGTAAGTTTTCAGTTATCAGTACAATACTAGATTAAGGGAAATCACTTTATGATGAGTTGTACCCATATGGAGTACATATTAATTCAATTGTTTGCAGATGTTCTATGTGTTATTTTAACATGAGTATTTTATAATTAAATGATGGGGACTGACATTCATGTCTTGAATTTTCACTGAATCTTTCCTTCAGCGAAAATAGCAAAAATTATTTTCAAGTGAAAATAAAGTATTTTACATTAAGTTAATAATAATAAATTACTGGTTAATAATAATAAATTACTGGTTAATAAAAATAAATTACTAGTTAATAATATTTTGTGTAATGAAACAATGTGTTTTACATGATACAGAATTGTATAAGAATTGTACATCAGGGTGACCAAAACCCTTGAACGTGTCAAACTTTAGAAGAAGGAAAATATGCAGTAATTTCACAATATTTCTTGACCAAATTAGTAAACTTGGTGTTTTTAATATTTTATTTTATAACATTTTTTTTGTATTGTACTTCAGCTTCCAAGCCTGCTGCCACTACAGTTTCCAGTCCAACTATACAGCCAACCAGTCATACAGTGATCTCATCCGTGTCATCACATCAGAATGGACCAGTACTTGAAGATGATGCTATGCGGTAAGTATAGAAAAACTAGTTTTATTAAAATCCTGTTTTCTATAGAAATAATGAGTTCACAGGGAAAAAAAAGTTTTCAGTAGAATTTGGTTGAACCATGTGAATTGTCTATTCCATGAAATGTATTCGTTAGTGTGATTAAACTTTTCACCACCAGTTCTCTCTTTTCATCACAAATCCACAAAATAGTGTCCTTTATAGTCTGCACTTCCTTTCACAGGATTGGGACAAAAATAGCCAATTTTTTTTAGTAAAAGCTGAAAATTTCCAGAAATATAGAAGAATATAAGAAAAAGTGCAGAAAAATGTAGACGAGAAAGTCTGGTGGAAAGGTTAACATATAAAGACGGTTCTAATAATTTGAAGTTTAAAGTTGTCTAACTAATCCTACAGCAGGCAGTTACTCCACTCTCTTTGCCAGATACTATAATTGTTTTGTAACATAAATGAAACTTCAGTTCTGAGCAGATACAAAACACATAATGTGGATAAGAAACTTGATCGAAACCATACAAATTTCTAAGTTATATAATACCACAGACATATAAGCTGTACAGTTGCTTCAGACTGGTTTGAGTGATTGGGTAACATTAATTTTTCATTGCTAGGTTTTAATAGATTTCTCACCAACTAAGTGGTTTTCTCATCTTTCACTTCGTAAATAATGTCATGGGGAGAGAATCAATTGAAAAGTAATCTTGTTTAAATACACATATTTCTGATAAAAAATAATATGAGAAGAAATTATTTTTAGCTTTGCTCTGACTGTCGAGTGGAGCTCATCATATGAGTGATTGTCCATCAGCGTCCATGTCAATGTTTTACTCTTTCGACTTCTTGAAAACTACAAGCCTGAATGCTTTGATATTATGCATATATGTACTACCTGTGGACCTCTCTCAGATTTGTTCATTTTGTAATGATATCTTCAATTCTCTAATTTTGGTGAAGATTTTTGTAATGTTTGGTGAAAAGTGATATTTTCGACTTCTTGTTGAAAACAAGTCTGATTGCTTTGATACTATACATATTGTTCATTTTCTAATGATATCTTCTGTTCTTTAATTGAAATGTGCATTGCTAACAGCGGAGCTATCTCAGCTGACAGGCTGCTTGTTTTTATTTAAAATAATTCTGCAGATCATAAGTTGCTGATTGTGTTCACTTTTGATACCACTATTATAAACCACTTATCGTAGACAAAAATTTGCATCTCGGTGACCAACATACAGCAGTAATATTCATTAAATTTTGAAGCTTGTTTCATATTTTATCTTGGTAGGAACAATAAACCATGATTTCTCATTAGTTACTGAATTTCACTAGTTTGTACATAGTGTAAATTTCATTGGGGTTCTTAGGGCATTGCAGTCACAACAGCTTATGCACAAATGTTTTCCTCAAAAATGAAATTAAAACATCAAATCATGAAAATTAAATATAATAAGATTGCTGTTTTGACACCCAATAATAGCAGTATTTGATTAAATAGTGCACAGACTTTGCGTAATCCATATATTATCAATGCTGCCAATATAACCTTGTCGCACACCACCCTCCACAATGTGTCACGACACAACTGTCACAATCATGTCAGACCACCCTCTACGACTCAATTGCAGTTTGATTTCATATCTGTTGGTGCATTCAACCTATATCTTAAACAAGCCTGGACCGATATCTTTCAAAATTGTACATCTTGTGAGACGTATACATGTTCGTTTAACATATATGGTGAAATTCCTTCTAATTGGGCATACCGGTACAATTGTTTCCAGGGGAAGAGGTGGTTGAAAAAAAATCCTAGGACAAATAAACGATAAGCGACATTTTCTGTACAGCAAGGTTCTTTTCTTAATACAAAAATGTGCAAGACATTACGTTCAGCTCTTATTGAACCACATTTTGTTTACACATACTCTGCATGGTTTCAGTTTATACCACAACATACAAGATATAAATTACAGACAAGTCAAAATAAAATTGTACAATTCACTTTGAATCTCTCTCCTAGATCTCACATGGGCCTAGTAGAGCATGACAAACTCAATATGTTGCATGTCAAAATACAGTTACACACAATTACGATTAAATCATGCATTCAATATTAAGAATGAAAAAAGCCCTGAATATTTCAAAACGGATTTCAATGAATTTTGAAATAATCATGCCTGCCACACAGCAGCTAGTGCTACTAATTTTTGTGGATCGAAAATTTGAATATCTGAATGGAATTATTACACATTTAAAAAACTCATTTTAAAAAAGCTTGAAAAAATTACTTGCTGAACAAGGTAAAATTAAATAAATTACAATTTTAATATGTATGCAGATTTTTTTAATTAGTTTTTCTGTATTGGTTATGTAATTTGCAATGTGTAACTAACAGTATATGCATATCAATAATATACGTTTGCTGGCTGGCTGTTGTAAAGTATGTCACTTTTGAGGACCCCCCTGGGAATAAGTTGCTATGTGACTTTTGTTAGCTTTTGGTATGACCATAACTGTACTGTATTGTTTTGTAAAATTTATGGGTTTTTTTTCCACATATGTATGCATGATGAACAAATAAATTAAACTAATTAGCCAAATTAAACTAAACTGGTGACAGGTTCCAAGTTACTGGTAGTTCCCCCTTTCAATGCTGATTCCAGTACTAAACTAAATCCAAGACTACCGGGTACTACATGAAAAAATCATTCTGGATTTTACATGTAGTTGGATCTTAAAAATTTGAGATAAATTTAAAATGAAATCTGAGATAAAAAAAGTTTAAAAGAAAATTGTCTGCATAGTGCCATCTCCTCTGTATTTGTGACAATGTATCCGGAGCTCTCCGCAGCGCTGTGAACTTTCCTGCTTTTCTAGCTACTCATTAAAATCATTCGGGGTTTTATTCACACTGAGTGGTGCTGGTTTTTGTCTATTCTGCTTCTGAAATCAGAGTGAATTTACTGTAATAGTTCCTTGGTTTGTGGACAGCAAACACTGGTTTTCAGCAGCTCATTATCAATCTTTGTATATTATTCTTTTTCTCCCTAGACATGAAATGCAACCAGCTGAAACAAGACCGAGATACGAGACCCCAGTTCCACAACCAAGACGTCCTTCTGATTCAAGTAAGCAATTCATCTACCTTGTAACATTACTGCTCAACCTATGACCTTTCAAAACTAGTTTCCTAATCTATCTAATATTGTAAGCTTTTTCTGCACTTTCTATGTAATATAGTTTTTCAATTTAACAAAATTTTGCGGTTTCAAAATTACTGTAGAATACTTTATTTTCACTTGGAATTTATTTTCGCTGAAGGGATGATTCTGTGAAAATAAAATCCAGTGAATATATTTTTTTTCCTATATTTCACATTAAACTCATCAAAAATCAGTGAAAATAAATTCCATACAAAACGCCCAAAAAGCCTTTTCAGCAAAAATTAATTACAGCGAAAAGAAAGTATTCCACAGTATATATATATATATATATATATATATATATATATATATATATTTAATTGAAATTAAAGTATATTGGGACTGTGAGTATTAAATGCTTTTAAGATGGATTAAACTGCTGTCAATAAGGATTTTATCACATTTGGCAGACAGATTAAGGAAAACACTTTTCATATTTGTAATTTGTTTCTTGAAGTGCACAGGGTGTTAAAATATATTGGTAATTTTTGTCCATGAAAGTACAAATTGTGTGCTTGAGTTTTGTAGCTGTGTAGCTACATTAAAAGATAATATTTTAGCAAACTGTTTGTTTTTGTTACCTCCGTGACCTTATGCAGTGTTGTTAAGAATCCAGACTTTATGTTCTGAGCCGTGCAATGGAACATATCTTTCACAAAAATAACATCACTAAGGCTCTGCTGTCTTGATTGATTTCTTGTACATGTATATCAATTTCTCTGAGCTTCTGTAACATATATTACTTTACACCTAGCACCAAAAACAATCATTATTAATCATTTCGTGATACGCCATATCTGTATTCGTTCCAAAAGTATCTACTACACACTTTCCTTTGTTTTGGGGTAAACTACGTCACAACAATATCGCATTCAAAATTATTGAACACTTTCCTTTGCTAACATTCGAACTAAAAAGTACTATAGCGTATGCAAATAGATTCCTGTCACCGAACACATCGACCACAGTGTTATTTGGGGCTAGTTATCTCTCATTAATTTATAAAGCTATAAAAAGATGTATATGTGTTAATAATATTTTAATATCTTAAAAATCAAATAGAGATTATGATTTAAATTGTACTAATCTTTATGAGCAAAATATACTGTGGAAATTATTTATGTACATGTATATGTGTCAGAGTCCTGAAAAAGAATAAAAATATGGGTTGGGTCTCAGCTATGGCATTCAACCTTCTTCCCAGACCTCTTCTTCTTTATTAAAATTTTCTGATAGCGCCCTCTAACAGTGATTATACATAGTCATTTGCTCTTACCGGTACATGTATCATCTGTGCCCGCTTGTACCTAATATTTCAGCAGTAATAATTTGATATTTTCTGTACAGTGGGCAATTTTTTTGAAATCATATTTGCTATATACTTTGCTATAGGAATCATGAAGCCTACTCATGAATTCAAGTACCCAGAATTTACCTATTTTTTAAAGAAATTGTACTTCTGGGAAATATACGATTATTGACTGAAAAAAAGTTGGGGTAACCAGCTTAATTTTCAAGAAAATGGTGGTTGTATTTTAGTGGATAGTGGCCATTTTGGCAGAAGTATAGTGCTTTTACCATGGGTTCCTATGGCAGAGATATTATGCCATATCTCAAATTGTAGCCTGGTGTAATAGGCTGAAAAAATAATATATTGTGAATGATAGGGTTATTGTTTTCCTAAATAATTTCAAAAATATGGGTTTTAAAAAGTGTCAAAAAATGCAATTGTTTGTTAAAAATAGCGATTTTTGAAAAAAACATCTCTATATGCGTCACTGTAACACACGAAAGAATGGAATTTCATGGTGCCATGAGACACGAGCTTCACATTGTCATGCGAATTATGACCAACTTCCTCAAAAATGATGAGTAGACTTCCACTTTAATATGCATTTGTGGTTCACATTTAAATATCAAAATATTTTGAAAATACTCTCTTGATTTGTTCTGTAAATCAAAGTAAGAATATAGTTATTTTATTTTTCTTCTTTATCTTCAACAATTTCAGGTATTACAGGAGGAATGACAGTGCACACATCTTCTACTGTAGTGTCTCAGTCTCCAGCCATCCCTCCAGCACCACCGATGCCCTCACAGACTGTTGTCGCAGCACCACCAGCCCCTCCTGCACCACCAGCCCCTACAGGAGGAATACCACCTCCTCCCCCGCCACCTCCACCACCAAACTTGGGGTCGTCATCGAGTGGCGGAAATGCTTCTGGTTTCGCTGGTGCATTAGCTGGAGTGAGTCTTAAGAAAACGGCCAAGGTGAGGGAATTATTAATTTTGTAACAAGAGTTAAAACAAATATTTATGTGGTAGATGCAAGATTCAGTTGAAACAGAGTAGCAATCAGAGCTTAAAAAATGAATAATTTAGACTGAGACTGAATGCGTGAAATGTATATAAATGTTTAAAATTAAATTACTTAGAATTTAGAATTTGTCAATCAAATAAGAAATCTTTTGACTAATATAGAATTGTTTTTTGAGATGCACACAATGTGATCCACAGTACGGAATATTATTGATAAAAATCTGTAGATGCTTTGTAAGACAAGAAATAAATTGCATTGTATATCTGTGGAAATGCTAAAAATTGGATACCGGTAATTATTAGCAATTATAGTTGGACATTATCCATATATGTAAGTTTCATTAAAATTTGATAAATAGTTATTGAGTACCATAACACAGATGCATTTACACTCATAGATAGGGTAACAGCAAAGTCTCTAGTTGTATGCTTCACACACAAGAGTCTAAAGAGGTGAACATGGCACATGGCATAGAGTAGATGACTACAGAATTATGTACATATGTACAGTAATTATGTACATAAGTTGTCATTCTTAACAAACATATTTTATTTTTTTAGCCTGCAGAGCCAAGCCCCGCTGTCACCGAAAAAACAGAGAATGAGCGAGAAGGGAGGGGATCTGTGTCTAACGTAGCACCCCCATTAGCTGGTATGGGAGGTATGGGGGGTATGTTGGGTGAAATGCAAGCCATGTTAGCAAGGAGGCGGGCACAAGCCGATGCATCTTCAGCTGTAAGTACATGATATGGATTGTAATGCATATGATAGAATCAGAAGGGTATTAGCAGTAAATGCTCACAGAAATATAAATTTAATAGTATTCATATTAAGCATTTGAATACCATTATTTTTTTATGCCAGAATTTGGGTACAACATTGTTATGTATTTTTCTGTAATTACTTCGTTATTTTGGATTAAATGAACATAATTTCTAATTGGCTACAATTCTTGATTCATTTTTATGCAAGTTTATTTTATAAAAGTTAATAAAAATTTACTTTGGTGTTCATAGGTTTAAAAGAAATTTGAACATGTTCATAATTAGACAAACTGAATAACAATTTCAATGATACAAAATTGTAAAACTTTTTCCTGGGTTGTAAAATTCCTAAAGCTCTCTAAAATGTTTGGCACTGGTGTGTATTGCTTCATGTCGATGAATAAATTAAATCATGATTTACCAGGGACTTAACATAGAGAAATATTTATATGAAACAATGAATTCTCTAATATGCACATACACTTATTGCAAATTATTGTAGTTGTAAATTGGGGTTAGGAATTTGGTCCCTACCACTCAGTGTGTGCAGTAGGAATATTTTAATTTATGATAAATCTCTGTCCAAATTGTTCTTCAACAATGTGTCCATATTGCATCTCTGTGAGTGATAAATACATGTGTATACAATTTTTTTATTTCTAGGCAAGTCCAAGTGGAAGCGGTAGATCATCACCAGTGTTAAATAAAGCTGCGTCAGTTGCTTCAGCCTCATCTACAGCAACTTCAGGTACAATTACTGCGACATGTTGTCTTCTTTAGTCCAAATTTCCTACTTTAACATAGTTTTCAATTCAACAGTTTTCCCAAATCCAATTAGTCATATTAACACTTGTACAATTTGTTTGCTTTACTTCAGATGTTCGTAAACCTTGGGAGAAGGAAAACAAAGTAGCTGCCAACAAGTTTACTGCATCATCACCAAGCCAACCAACCACTAATGGTACGACAAATGTTCCATCGAGTGGATCACCAAAAATGATACGAAGGTATGTACTGTAAAATATTTTACTTTCACTTGGAATGTATTTTCCACTGATTTCCGTGATTCAGTGAAAATAAATTAGAAATGCCGAGAAGGAGCAATGGGTCAATAAAAGCAGTTACTATAAATTTGATTGATAGAAAATGATTTTATTGACCACTAAACAGTAAAATACTTAATTTTCGCTATATAGGTTATTTTGATTCAATGATAGGCATATGTTTGGAATACATTGTGGAGTTTGAACTCGTTCAGGATACAGTCTTTGAATAGCAGTCATTGATAGCATGTACATACACAACCATGCTTTGTGTATACAATTAATAGTAGTGGTGTTCACGTTAGAGATCTCGGCACGTGCCGAGACTCTGGACCGAGTCGGCACGTGCCGAAACTTGTGTGTGAACGGTCGGGACCGAGTCGGCACGTACTGAAAAGAACCCGAAACTCGGCACGTGCCGTGATTTGCTGCCTGAACGCTCGGCACGAGCCGAAATCACGCCCTCGGTGGTAAATCTAAGAAAACATAAGCTGATTTATACTAGTATGAAATGACGATGATAGGAAATTCAGATATACTAGTATATGATCGGATGCTGTAGGAATGAATGAAATGAATGCAAACCGTCGTCAGCAACGCTTATTTATGTGCTGCTGCAACCGCTATTTTCTTGCAATGCTAAATTGACATGAAAAAAATAATTGTGTTTGAATCTTCTTTGCCGTTCATGTACACGATGGCTCGTAATAAACACCATAGTAATAAATGGATATAATTTTACTATAATAATTATTATTATTATCATATGCGTTTCATTTTCCATGTTTGGGCCAACAGATCGACGAATTAAGGCGTGATTTCAGCACGAGCCGACTCAGTCCTAATTGGGCCCTGAATAACGTGAACGCAACTGCTGTAATCCCTCTGCAAACACAACGGATTAAAAATTTCGGCACGTGCCGAGATCCCGTAACGTGAACGTAGTAACTGTCACCTACGTTATAGACTAACAACTAGAGACCCTAAAACTGTTGTTGTTGGTGCTTTCACCAAAGTATTGATGTTCATTGTTAATACGTATGACAATAACTTTATTACAGGGCACGAGGCGGATCAATGTCAGTAATACAAAACGGTTTACAGGACTCTGATTTAGAGAGACTTAAACAAGATATCCTGACCGAAATGAGAAAAGAAATACAACAAGCTAAATTAGAAATAATTGAAGGTAAACATGCTTCAAATGTAAACATATTTTTTTTCCAGGCTTTCAGAAAAATGTTTTGAAGCTGTTTTTGTCTGGTTGTATATTCTTTAATGATTATTAATGATAAGATCAACTATCTATCTTTGTTGTCAATGTTATGTATCGATTGATCGATTGATCCATCATCGTTAAGTTAGATACAAGAACAGTATTTGCTCTATAAGATGCATATATCAAATAGAAATGCATGCAATAAAATGTGATTGAGTTGCACAATAGTTGCACCTGTCATTTATGTAACACCATGCGTTACTATGGAGCAAATAATCAGGGTCATGTATCTTTCCGTACTCCAGCATACCAGTAATCATTATTGCTAGAATGCATAGTTTGTCAATGTTCTCACTGTTTTTTTTTCATTATTTACAGCAATAAGAGAGTCAAGTTCAAGATAGAAGTCATCATGCCTTACTGCATCAATGTACTGGTTTTACATGCAAAATTACTCTATATATACATATACATATATACCCAGGATATAGTGATAAAAGAAATACGACTCTGATTTACAAAAAGAATGATAGTTTGCCATTCCATAAAATTTGCGATTGCATAATTTTGCACATCGATGAGCGCTAGCGTTGTTTAATCAAACCCTATTTTTTATCTATTCCATTTAAACCAGAAAAATTTTGCAAAATAATGGTTAATATATATATAGACAGAGTCTTATGAATTATTGCAAGGTTTGGTGTTTAGTAGGTTTTAGTATGAGATTACAGGACCAATAGCATTATTTTTGTGGTGTGTAGATACTTATTAATGTGAGGTTAGACTTGCATATCTACAAGGCAGAATTTGATAGGTCGAATAAACCTGTCAATAAAGAAGCTGCTCTCTGATTGGTCTGACTATTAGATTTTAGGTTTGGGTAGCCAATCAGACACAATTTTGTAATTAGCTTTGCATCGACTCTTGGTTTGTGGGATTAGCCAATGAAAATCCCAACTGGACATGTACGATGGTGAAATATCTCCACCACTTCATTTTCTGAAGGATATTTAGGAGATAAAAATAAAAAAAAATAAACAATTTTTTTGTACCTATTTTACACAAGTTCTTGGCCATTTGTTTTTTCCTCATATTTTCATATTATAGTGCATTACCTGGATATTCACTGGCTGAGGCCTTCATATGTGGGACACTGGGTTAGAATACGGTTTTGACAATGTCCATATTAACTGTTACTTGTCAGCTTAAGCTACTTATTATGTAGACTGGTGGAGACAAATATTTGATGCTATTTTTGAAGAGATTAAAACCCAATTCATTACAGGGGTGATGTTCTACTTAATTACCTGGTGCGTATAGCTGTCTCATTGCCAACATTTAGGCAGTTAATGAACATTTTGGAGAGGCCAGAACATTTTTTTTTTTTACGTATATCCATCTTCCATATATATATAGACGAGTTTCACAATATAAATAAATAAATTAATTAGTGTGCCTAATTAACAATGCAATGCTTGTAAGCAACTGACATATTCAAAGATTATGTTTATTTTGTTGTAATTATTTTCAGTATGGAATTGTCATGTTTACTATTAAATATATTATAATTGCTATTAGATGAATCATGGGCGCTAACAAATGTACTTAACCAAAATTGAATAGTCAACCAGTGCCATCTTCCTGTGTCAATGTGGAATTGTTTTATTTAAAAAAAATATCAATCAAAATTTGGCAATAATGTAAACAAGCAGTTGGTATAATGATTGTACTATGGTAATTGTTAGAAAACAGTGGTCAGACTCGTGAGTATTTGGTGATAGTGAAAATAGTGCCCTTCATTCTGAGGAAGGTGGACTCTGTCCTCGGGTAGGACTAGCAATGGTATACAAGAAAGTGTGTTCATATTTTTTATTACCATGAAACCTTTAAAGAAACTCAATAAACTAAGCAGTTAGTATCTTCAAAATACAAAATATGTGTATGGTGGTCACTCATCATGTCTTAAGTATTAAGATTAATTGCAATTGAGAAGAGTTGCCATGCAGTAGGGTGTGTCTTTTTACAGTGTGTTCAACAGTTATTTTTTTCACAAAGACTTTTTTTTTGAATTGTAGAATTACAAAATGCTCTTACTTATCACATAATAAACCATGCAGTTTTAATTAAAAATGAATCTGTTTTCTCACTGACTTCTCAAAACAGTGCTAGTTAGTCCTAACAATGAATGATTGTAGGTAAGATGTACCAGGGTCACAACTTACACCAATGTGTTGGCTGTCACAATGCACCAGGGTCACAACTTACACCAATGTGTTGGCTGTCACAATGCACCAGGGTCTCAACTTACACCAATGTGTTGGCTGTCACAATGCACCAGGGTCACAACTTACACCAATGTGTTGGCTGTCACAATGTACCAGGGTCTCAACTTACACCAATGTGTTGGCTGTCACAATGCACCAGGGTCACAACTTACACCAATGTGTTGGCTGTCACAATGCACCAGGGTCACAACTTACACCAATGTGTTGGCTGTCACAATGCACCAGGGTCTCAACTTACACCAATGTGTTGGCTGTCACAATGCACCAGGGTCTCAACTTACACCAATGTGTTGGCTGTCACAATGCACCAGGGTCACAACTTACACCAATGTGTTGGCTGTCACAATGTACCAGGGTCTCAACTTACACCAATGTGTTGGCTGTCACAATGTACCAGGGTCTCAACTTACACCAATGTGTTGGCTGTCACAATGCACCAGGGTCACAACTTACACCAATGTGTTGGCTGTCACAATGCACCAGGGTCACAACTTACACCAATGTGTTGGCTGTCACAATGCACCAGGGTCACAACTTACACCAATGTGTTGGCTGTCACAATGCACCAGGGTCACAACTTACACCAATGTGTTGGCTGTCACAATGCACCAGGGTCTCAACTTACACCAATGTGTTGGCTGTCACAATGCACCAGGGTCTCAACTACCCATCAACCATATACAATGTAGGTTCCATTATTTGTGCTTGTAGTTGTGGCACTGTTTCTGTATCACAATAACACGGGATAATGAATATAGTAAATCTTGCCTTCACATAATTCTACAAAAAGTCTGTGTTGCAATTTTAGCTAAATAGGTTGATGCTATTTCATGCATGAGTATATTTAAATCACAAATTCAAAAAAAGGTTTTAAATATTTTCAATTCATGCTTTCTTCCTTATGTATAATTTTTACAAAATCTATAAAAATGAACATTTGTTGCATAAATCATATTTATGTATTCTGCATTGTCATCATTCTTGATCCCTCTTTAGCATTCGCTCCATAATAAAGGAGCCCTCTATAGGTGGTTGTTTGTATTCTTTCCCTTTTTAAATTTATGTTAGGAAATCATTCTTACTCTCAGGGCAACAAAGGTATTCTCTCGATCTTTATAAATCCTTATGAACTTCACTGAAAACGAAAAGTTTTGAGAAACTAGCTTCAGATTCAACCCCCTAAAATCTTACCATCACCTTATGTGATGTGAAAATAAATTCTTGGAATGGATCATCATGATTGTAACACAATAACAAACATATTTGTTGATCAATCTTGTGCACCACACACAAATTATTTACAACTTGAGTTGGCATATCAACAATTACGTCATTAATCATATATGCGATATCACATCCATGATGAAAATAGTAATACAATTGTCTTTTTAAACTGAAGTAAAAAATAAAATGAAACTGAAAAATACAATTAAAATAATTTTTAAAATTGATGAATTAAAAACTAGGTGATTATGCATTAACACTTATAAAATCTACATTTGCCTCGCTAGTAGGTAATAAACTATTTTCGCTTATAACCTTCATAACTTGGAGGGGCTTAATTCAAGTTCTACATTTTTACTGAAATTGGAAGTGGTTTTCAATTATACATTTTACTAACTTAGGGAGAGGAGCTTTACACATGGCCTGCTGATGTCATGGCTATCCATGGAGGTCAAAATTCTATATTTTGAAAAGAAGAGTCTTGGATATGTATATAATTACATCTTCTAGGTGACGATTCTATCCCTGAGGCTGATATTTTTGTTATATATTATAAAATATATAATGTAGCTCTGATTCCATCAATCAAGGTTTCTAAATCAAAATAATTAGCGTATATCTTATTTCTTCCTGAAAAACAATGTGTGTTTTTAGTGTAGTGTACGGGGGAATGAATATATTTGCAATGGCTTTGATATGAGCTACAGAGAATTAGTGAAAAGGTGTTACTTATGTGTTACCTTTACGTGAAGATATGAGTTATGTACCGTATTTGTCTAAATGTTAACAAATTAACTCACCTCATTATACCAAGCTTTTCACTTTTTATGATAAAAAGCACATTCAATCAGTGATGATTGCACTTTAATCTCCAAAAATTACTCTAACATGTAGTAAATTCTTCACTGTGCATATAATAATTTCATAGAATGCATAACCCAGAGACTTGCTTACAAGTTTTATACTTTTTGTCAAAAATAAACGATATATATGGCTAAAATATAAAATAGTTCAGTGTTTGCAAAAAAATTGAGTAATCACAAGATGTAGATGGTCCCAACTGTTGCCCCTACTATTATTTAAATGTGTTATTTTTTTCCCCATAATTTTCATACCTTTTGTTTCCTGTTTTATTTATTTTTTGTTGGTTAAGAAAGAATGCCATGTATAAATGTCTCAATCTGCCGTATCCTTACCATGCACTATTACAGGGTGAAAGCTGCTAGAACCAATACATATAGTATACAGAAAATTATAGTACTATTTTTGCTGAAGGAATGAATCGGTGAAAATAAAATCCAGTGAAAATACCTTTTTTCCTATTTTTCACATTCAACTCGTCAAAAATCAGTGAAAATTAATTCCAGCTAAAATATTTCACAGTAGTTAATAATTACACTGGACGACAATTTTCTATATACATGTATTAATATATGTTTGCATTAGTAAAACGTAAATATGTGCGGAAGCCCGTGTACCCTGGTGTCTGCAGCTGATTTGTATCACGTCTGACCATGGAGGTAGAGGTCTGACTGAGCTTCATTCATAGCTCTTGTTTGTATTCGAATGAACTTTGACCTAGATGCAGTCGGAATGAGATGGACCAATCAAGCGCGATATATTTGAATAAATTTGAATTCAGCCAATGAAAATACTTCCCGCCGAGGTCAGGCGGTTAGGCGCCAGTGTTTCAAAGCGTCGAATAGACTGCCTCTTGTATTTTATGACAATAAGCTTTACTATCTTGTAGTAATTTGTAGATTTCAGCACAAACAGCAAGGTTAGTATGATATGATAATTAATAGTTTATGGTATTCAATCTAAAGATGAAGTATTTCTGTTAGTTTATCACTTATAGTAGACCACACACCACGGGAGAGCTCCATGGTTACGGAGTGGATTGTGTTTTACTTATCGTTTGCGTGAATCTCGCAGACTGGGTATTTGTATTAAAATGCTTCTCGCATAAACTTGTAACTGTCCAAGTATGGCACAACCAATCGAATCATTGTATCCACTTGTTGTACGACATTGCGGCTTGTTCTGTTTTGGTTTGTTTTGAACTGGAAGTATTAATAATTCATTCACATTGAATCTCTCGTTTTAAAACGCTGAACTTGTGTTTCGGTACGCTGACAACACTTTTCGACACGCTTATAACATCTTTGTATTGCAACCTTTATTGAATAATGATTGATTAAACATCTGCTATTTCAATTAACATATACTATCGTCTTTATTTCCCGGTTTCACCGCAGTGCAGTAGAGGCAATGTAGCCCCTTTTTATGCGTACCCCAAACTTCCGAGGACGCCATCTTTGTTGTTCATGAACGCAATCTCGATCCTTTGTTTACGACTACGACCTTTGCTTATAGCGATTCATATCAACTAACGACATTTGAATTTGCACAACGGGTAGAAACTAATTACGTTGTATCTTGGTCAAATTAGTTGGAAGATACACATCATATTTATAATAATTAAACTTTCTGTTGCATGGTTCCGGTATTCTTGGGCTGTGAACCATACCAACCTGGTACCATGGAGCTCTACGATCATACATGTAAACTGATGATGGTTGTGGAATATTAAACCACACTGTGCCTATGTTCTTTTTATTCTTATCAATTGGTTATGCAATTGTACTAGAAATTGCAAGCAATTTCCTTATTTGATTGTCACATTTGAGAATTCTACAGTCAACACAGGTAAACCACATCAGCGTTGCAAGTTTATAATAAAACCTTTTAGTATAATTTTCATTGACAATATTTTGTTGCAGGGTCATAAAAGGAAAATGCCGACGAAAAGGTCTAGTATAGGGGAGAATGTGATGGCAAAATGGCCAGGTAGTAGTCTGTGGTTTCCTGCCAAAATTACTGGTTATTATGGTAAAAACTATGAAGTGGTATTTCAAGATGGGACTGAGTATGAAATCGAGCCTAAATATGTTAATGTAAGTTTGTACACCACTTTTTACAAAGATGTACTCATTTATTCAGAGATCATATGTTTCTTCACACCAAAACAAAGTTTTTTGTATGCTACCTCCAAATGTATGAAAAAAGAAAAACTTTCATTAGTCCCCG